TTCTCACTGAGCACTTTTGACAGACACGAGAGACTCTGAAGATGCCGTGGCGAACATTATGCTACTTGTATCATTTAGTATGACCAGTTTGGCGGTGGAACAGTGATGGTCAGTGAAAGCATATCCTTTGAGGGTCGCATGGACATTATGTATTGGTGAATGCTTGCCAGTTGCTGCCTAGTAGTGCCACAGACTGTCCAGGACTTGTTGATGCCCCAGTCCAGGTCTGGGAGGAGATCCCCCAGGATATCATCCACCATCTAATCAGGAGCGTGCCCAGATGTCGTTGGGAGTGCATACAGGCACGTGGTGGCCATACACACCACAGAACAACCTTATGAGTTGTCAGGATAAAAATTCACACAAGTTGGATCAGCCTGATTTCAAATTTTCACTTTATTTCAGCGTGATTTTGAATCCAGCCCTCAAGCCGTTAATGATTTTTATTTCCTTTGACCATTCTTATCTTGTTTTGTTGTCAATGGATATCAGTAATGATTTTCAACATTAATATTTTGTTCTTTGAGATCCTATGTGTGATTTAATTTTAATTTTTTAATTTGAGCAGTTTATAAAAAAGTCTACTAATTACAATTTGTTATACTTTTGAGAGTTTTGAAAATGACTTACAGATATAACCGAGGTCATCTGCACAGGACTTGGCAGGAGAGGGACAGTCTGCCCATTAGGGAGGTGCCTCACCAGTGGATAAGAACTTGTTGGGGAGCTGTTGACAAAATTAAATACTTGTAAACTGCTGTTCTTCTATTCGGTGCCAACAGACAAAATTATGATTGGGGAAAGGGTACATGTATATCTCCTGGGTAACACAGGACGCTCTACCAAAGTGCTAGGTGTACCTAGCCTCTTAAATTCAATTGAAACATTAGTTAGAACATACTCAGCTTCTGTAAAGTGACAAATCTATGAAATGTTATTAATCTGTAAATTATTTGAAGAGGGGTAAGGATTTGACTTACAGTTTTAACATGTTCAGCAAATACCGCCAATCAAAATATAGTAAATCAAATAACAGAAAGACACAGCTGTTTACCTGAGCTGTCTGTTAGAAGGTGGAGCTTGCGTGATGACGGACGTTGGGGATGGCAGAGTTGTAGGGTGTAGTGGGTCATTACTCAGGTGAAGTGGAAGAGAACCTGGACGCACAATGGTTGGAGTAGGGGCAGAGCTGGGCTTTGTGGGAATCTCCTGTTGACACATCACACACTTTTTATGTTGACAAGTAAATGGCAGTTAATTTTGTCTTGAGGATAACGGATACACTTTTTACTGATATAAATTGTCAGGATGTAAAGTTCGAACCTGCAAACCAATGTGCAGTCGGCATAAAATAAGTCTGTAGTAATACATTGTAGCTTTCCTCCTACCCTTGAGTCTCTGCTGTTGTCCGACATGCTGGAAGAGGAGTCTGGACTTTCAGGAGGTGAAGAATCCACTTGTAAAGGACCCTCATCCTCATCTTTTACTTGAGATGGTGTTTGTAAAGGTGCAGGCTTAGAGGAAAAAAACAGGCAAAAGAAGATCAACATCAACTTTCGAATCATCTGAAATTATTAAACACTTTATGAATAAAAGATCTTACAACTTGAGCAAAAACAGTGAAGTTTTATTAAACATACAACGTACAATCATCCTTACTCTAACCAGGTGCTTTGTCCTCTGATCATCCTCATGTGCTTTGCTAAACTCCTGTTCAAAGGAATTGGCTAGTTCACTGAACAACCCAACCTCCTCACAGTTTTTCAGGAAACGTGTCGGTGTAGGGGTCTGGTCTGCATTTAAAAAAAAGGGGGGGGGAAGAACCATTATGTTAGTGGACAGAAATACTTCTTTCACAACAGACTATTTATATCAATATAGATGTAAAAAACACTCAGGTTAATAGTAATGTATTTACCTGCAATGATAACGGAGTCTGTTCGGGCAGGACCAAATTTTAATGTCATTTCATGCTTGTGTTTGTGGACTGCCAGGTGGTCTTCATTGGTGAATCTCTGCAAACATTAACACAGCAGATAAGAAAAATATAGTAATATAACCACCAAACACAGTAAGTGTGTCATTACTGTGGCCACTGTGCTGCTCATAAATCTTATTTCAGATTAATATTAGCTCCTGCTTTGTGTGCAGAAGGTCCACACTGAGGTCAGACACTGTAAAAACAGTCTTACATGTGCTTTATCATTTTTATGGACTACTTTGTCATTTGTGCACCACCTTGAATAAACTGCAGTGAGTGCATGTGATATGAAAGAGGGAAGAATTTATTTTAGACAATGTTCAGACCTGGTATTAAGACTTTCATCATGTGAGATCAGATCACAAGTGGTCAGCGTGAAATTCGTCTGTTGAGACCTGGCATTCAAATATTCCTGAATGTGTCTCCTGTGACCACTTGTGATCAGATCTCTCAGGAGACACTTCCTCAATCTATGTGCAAATAGTCACAGCTGTCAGTTGTGTTTGTGAAGACCAAAGGCTGTTGTTTTTAACCAGTCTAACTCCAATTTTGTGTGTGTGTTTGGGTCTGTATGTGTGTCGGTGTGAGCAAGAATGAGAGAAGTAGAGAGAGAACGTTAGCCAGCAGAGTCAGGAGGAACTGGATGAATGAATGCAAAGCTATGAGGAAAGATTTGAACACTTTTAGAAGTGTTGATATTGAGGTGGTGGCTGCAAAGAAATCAACATATGGGCACTGAGAAGTATGAAAATACATTTCTACAGTAGTGGGTAAGAGCACGTCAGCTAAGTTGGTGATCCTTAATATGTGGCCTAGGGTGCATTTCCATTCACATAGAGAAAAGAACGTGGCATGGACCACCTCTGAATGTGACTTTTAGTGATCTGATCTCAGGACACATTTGAGTGCATTCAGACCTGTACTTGGCACTGAACACTTGTGATCCGATCACTCAGGATGGGTGTTAATGACAGGTCTGAACAGGTTATTACATTTCAGAGCTTGATAATCAGAGATGTACAAAGAGTGTTACGGAGACATGCATATGAATATAAATATTGAGATAAATATACTGAAAAAAATCTGACCTGCCCACATCCAGGGGCAGAGCATACAAAAGGTCTGTCATCCCCCATTTCAGACGAGTGATCTGCAAAAAAGAGAGCAAAAAGTAGAGCAAACTGTTAACTCCTATGGAAGCAGACAGCCGATCTTCCATTTACTAAGACACATTATTTTAACAGTAATGATTACATGCTATTGAATGATGCAAGTTTAAACCAGCTTCAGTTCCATTGACAGCGTTGACCAAAAAGCAAGTAGTTGACCGGAGAATACTTCCCTGTTTATAATTTAGGTTGACCACATGTGACATGCACCTGTTGAGAACTACAGTCTCTGTTAGCGCCATTGATAGCATGAGCTCTCACATAAACACAGAAGGGACAAACAGGCCGACCATCTCCGGCCTGTTTGGTGCGTTTGCTGCGGACTCGGTCGGTCGAGGATAACCGTGGACAAGCGTTCAGCGATGAAGCAGCATAGCCAGAGCAAGCTAGCACACAACCTGCCCTACAGTGTCCTCAAGTCCGAGGCGTTAGCTGGCGATCACTGCCGACGCCATCGGGCTCTGCAGCTAGCTAGGTGGACTGGGTTGGGTTACGGACTAAAGGATGGGTTATCATAAGGTTATCATATGGTAAATATATATTTGACTTCATGAGAAAAGGGCCTCATGCTAGCACAAACCTAGCGCTAGCCTCACCACACTGACCCGAAACCTGACAGTCATGTCATCATCACGAACGCAGAAGCTAACACAGTGCTCACTCGTGTCACACAACACACGGTCGAACACGCCCAGCAAAGCGATTTTTTTTTCTTGTGTGGCTGCCAGAACAACATAGCTAGCTAATGCTAACTTGCTAACCGAAGCTGCGTTAGCTCTACACTCACACTAACGGGTCCACCGAGTTAGCAGCTAAACGTTAGCACGCTAAATGCTAAAGAAAGCTATGCTCGTGAACTGGCCGCGCAGAAAATAACACGAGTGACACGAACACAGAATTTGTATCGGTCATGAAATATCACATTTTATTTAAGAACAACCGAATACTGTCCTGACTCACCCACCGTGAAAACGGCCTCTCCCACCTCCCTGCTCCGGACAGCGCCGCGGTGCTCCTGCTGCTCCTGCTGCTGCTCCTGCCCGTTGTTGATACTCTGACACGCCACCCGCCAAACATCGCGAGAACTGCGACAGGCCACAGTATTGCATAAGAGGGCCACTGAAGTCAAATCAATTGTTATTCGTCCGTCTGGTGTTTTATTTGGTTTAGATTCTCATTATTTTTTACAATACTATCTGCCTTTTAATTTTTCAACACATTTAGAACGTTCATTTTTATAAAAATAATGTACTTTATTTAAACAGCACCTTTCAAAGCAGGTTACAAGGTGCTTGGCAAGTTAAAGATCGAAAAACTAAAGGCAAACAACAGGAAGTAAACTATAGGAAACTATTACACGATGATCACACAGCATTGAAGCACATAGACATACATAACAAGTTTTGCAGATAAGAAAAAAATAAAGAACAAGATAAACTAAAACATTAGATCAGAACAAGGAGAAAGCACTGCTTTATTCACATCCTTTTTTTATACTTGTACTTTACCATTTTCAGCTCTCTTGTGTTGTGTACCCGATGTAACATGTACGATTTTCACAAAAAGATACTTATATATTTTTATATACCCTCCCACTTGACCACTCTTATCTCATCTCTACACAAAGGCTGTTGAGTTGTGTCAGTGTCACAGTTAACAGACATTTCATGGACTGTTAGTGAAATCTTTTCCAGTGCGTGGGAGGAATCTGAGACTGTACTGTACTGTACACACACATCTGCCAATTCCCACTGCTCTGCCAGTAATGTCCCAGAGTCAATTTGAAGATCAGCACATGGCACATCTGAATATGCAATTCAGAAAACATACACAAACAAGCAAGACAGGACTGTTTAAAAATAAATCTTTATTTCCATATATCAGGCTCAGTAATAAAATATTCACTTGATAAACCAGTGTGTACTTGGCTGAAGTTTGAAATCCTGTGTTTGATTTAGACAGATATAAGCAGGACTCGGATATAAGACTAATATTGCATTGACGGGCAACCAAAATCAAATATATCATACACACCTAACATTGGACAAATAAGCATGCACATACATGTTAAGCTCTGCTCCAATTAGCTGCAGCTACCATAAACTTAGATTTACATCAGAGCGGATCTATGTGTCTTAAATGTCGTGAACGGGCCGTGTTGGATTTGGACGACCAGCTAACCAGCCTCGATCAGTGGAGTGATGTGCTCAACAACCTCCCACCTTTTCCTGTTGAGATCAAACACTGTTAAGGCACTGGAGGTTTGGTTTGAGATAACAGTTCCGTGTAGTTTGAAGCAGAAGCAATTGGTCTCTTTCTTGCAACCAGGTTCACACTGACAATACAAACACATTATACTGTACACAGGCGACAACTACTGATTACAAAAAAAACAAAATACTGAACACCACAGTAAGTTTCCTAGAAGCGAAGGAATCAAAACACTTATCTAAGGCATTTTTTTTAATTCACCTAACCCTAAAATGTATAATTCTTTACCTTCACTCGTTTTTTTATTCATTTAAATTTGCAGCACCACAGGCTATTCGGATTATATGAAAACATATTGAAGCACAAGTTCAGCATTTCTGAGCAACATTTTCCCCTTTTCTTACATCTGCTGTGATTAAAAACCTTGAGATCAAACAATAGTGCATTTCAGCTCACACCACTACAGATACATGTTGCTCTGCCATGAATCCTGACTGTACACATCAACAATCAACTCAGTTGTCAATAACTAAGTATTTTTTTCCCCCCTAAAATCATTCGACACAGCAATTTAAAAACATTAGAGAAACACTGATAACCATGAAAAGAAAAGCATGAAAATGGACAGAAAATGAAATTTAAAGACAGGCTGTGCAGCAGGTAACACGTACATAAACAATGCTAAAATAACCCTGTATATACACACACTCAAGAATGCTAATACATAAGTCATTTACAAGATCAAGCTCAAACATGGTTTCTATATCAACAGATATACATTCAGCTGAAATTAGGAAGTGATGACGATGCAGGCAATGTCACCAGATCAAGAGACACTTGCCACAGCAGCATCCCTCAAACAGCTACTTTAAACAATTTCTATTCAGAAGTCAATATGTGTTAGCAGGTCACATGCAGGTGGTTGGTTACAAATAATTCTTTCACATCTCGTCCTTCTCTAGAAAAACTTGAAAATGAAAATACAGAACAATCTAAACACTATGTTACAGTGATTACTGGGTGATCGTCTGGACTTAAACATTTCTGGAACAGGGTCTGTGCTCCAGAAGTTAACACGGTCAAATGAAGTTCAAAAATGGCTGATAACTCATTAATCTTGCTTCATGAGACAGACACAATCTGATAAAACATGTAAAGTCTGCTCCTGCTTAACTCTAATAAAACTAAGCAACTGAAATAAGACATAGTGATTTGCACAGTTACATTGAATTAAACGTTTAACTCCACATTTGTTAGTTCAACTATTTGCAGTGCTTTAATATCTGCATCACAAAGATAATAACTGTCAAAAATGCAATAATTGATAACCATCATATGATGTAATCTTTTGAATCCATGTAACTTAGTATTTCCCCATCATGTTGTAGAGCATGATTCCATATTCATGAGAATTTCTCCAATCACAGCTTCTCATCTAAACTCAAACCTTCTGTGGTAAATCTTCCATTTCATAAAAAAACAAAACAAACAAATATCCTTGATACAAATCTGATGAAAAGCTGAAGATGAATCACACGTGAATAATGGCAACTCAAAAACATGTGCCTTAATGTCAATTTGGTTGTTGACAATGCTTCATGTAACAAAACAATATTTATAGATACAAGATGGTTCTTTCAACCTTAACTCTCTCAAAGGTTCAAACACACACACTTTTGCCAGTTTATGGTGATATTACTTTAGGCAAAGTATGTTTCAGCACCTCGTCTGCAATTCTGTCAGCAGACTAAATGCACTTTCCTGTCTTTTCTTCAACAATGATAAGAGAATCTTTGACGAAGTCTGTCAAACGAAATATATTCATCTGTCTATTTACATATATTCTATATTTACATAGATTTCTTTTTTGTTTAAATACATGTTGTAAAGGTTTCTGTTCCGTAGGTTATTTTGGTGACGTTGGGGGAATGTTCTGTTCCTTGCCACTGCGTCTGGGGCCCCGCTGTGGATTAAACGGTTTTCCACTGTTTAGGCCTCTCTGATGCTCCCGAATTTTCAGCCCTGCACTCTGAACTCTGGCTTGGCCATTTCCCCCTCTGAAGGAGCGTAATGGCTGACGAGGCGGCCGGCTGTCTCCATTTTTCTCTGGTTTGTCTGTTGTGTGCCTGCAGTTGGGGCAAGGCTCTTCACCCCTGTTTACCTTGAGCTCCTGTAGGGGTTGGGTAGCTGAAGACGCAGGAGGTGGGGGAGAGGGAATCAGTGCTGGTGGCTTGTCCATGGCCATCTTCTGGCATACCTCTGCATAGCTGAGCTTTTTGAGCCCCTGGTTAGAGGATAACAGAGACATTTCAAAACCAAAATATAAACCATATATAAAACAATACAACAACAAAATAAAAATTGAAACTAAAGAAATTAGTCAAGTTCAACAACCACAAAGGCTGTGTCCATTTGAACATCATATGATACAAAATATTAAAATAGCCTAGAACAAAAAATCCTTCAATAACACACTGACAAAGATCAAGGCAGAGAAGTGGATTAACTTGTAGTGGTAGTTAGGCTGAGAAGTAACAGATACGTTTCTATAGAAATTGTAAACGTTAAGACACAACACACAACAGCTGTGACTATTCATTATCCTCATAGGAGTCAGATTAGATTTAATAATATTTTATCCAGGTTATTTGAATAAATCAGTATGACACAAAGTACAGTCTTAGGAGGTTATAAAGTGACTCATATGACTGACTAACCAGGGAGCATTAAACAGGAAACCGATGCAGTATTCCAGAGGAGGAAAGCAGGACTCACCAGCTCTGATGTTGGAGTTGAGGGAGAAGGAGAAGGTGCTTCTGTTGAATACGACTGGCTGCAGGGGGAGGGGTCATATTCGGATTCTGCTGGAGAAACTGCCTCCGTGGACGAAGAGACTGTTTCCTCTGGAATGTGATGTTTAGTTTTATCCTCTTCCTTCACTGAAGAAGAATCACTAAATCGACAAATATAAAGTGTTATTTTTCACGACATATCCTTCACATATTTTATTTGTTCTTACTATCAAAACTTGTGGACGAACTCCTGCACACTGTCCAACTTGCAATCAGAAATGTATTATGCAGCTTTTCGGTACTAGACCATCATCAGGCAAACAACAAAGGTCTAGTACAGAAACATTACATATTACATTTCTGATTGTTGTACAGTGTGCAGGAACTCTTTCAAAAGTTTTGATCCACTCGTCCAAAGTGTTTATGAGTTCTTGTTACACCATGAAGAAAACTGTACCATGAGGTGGGTGGTGCCTCTGTCTGCAGTGTCACAGGAGCAGGTTTGGCAGTTGGGGTCACAGATTCTGGTGAGCTCACAGGATCTTCTGAGACAGTTGTGCGTCTGGTCTCATTAACTTCTTGGCTCACAGACTGACATAAAGAAATTCAAATATAATGAGCATTTATGCAACTGTAACTTTAAGGCTAATTGTCCAATATAGGGAATATCAGAGAGGGTAAGATTTACCTTGTTGGTCACCTTCATGCCGCGTACAACATCAGAGAGGCGCATCTCTGGTGTGGTTTCTCCTCGTGTACTAACCACAGACCCTGGTAAAGGAGGGAAATTGGAAGCTGCCAGGTCAAACTTTGGAGGGGGTGGAACCTTGGCCTCCATCAAAGGGATAAGACGCTGCAGACAAAAAAAATCAATAAAAGGTTAAGATAACAAATGATCTTGCACACTACTTGAAATTTGCCAAAGAACAGTAAACTGAAACTTTCTGAGATACCCTCAGGACCTGTCTGGTGTGCAAAAATGTGTGAAGACAATTGTTTTGTGGAGAATCACTCATAATTTAACGGAAAAAGGAAATACGCTCACCTTGGTATGTTCATCTTCTCTTTTTCTCCTCATGCCTCTGTGGCTAACTCTCCTAAAAAAAAAACAGACCTTTTTTATGAGTTTTTTTTTTTTAATAAAAAATACAATGTCTTGCATTCCCATTGAGCTGAATGTGAAAGCCAAATAGTTTTATTCCTTAATAATGTCAACACATAAAAGGTGATCAAATTGTAACAAATATCAATATGAATATTAATAGTATACACACACGTTTCACTGCACATTAGTGGGTCACACTGCAGTTAATCTCATAGTGTTAATAAACAGGATATTTCTAACTAACCTGCCATGTCCAGCCCCACTCAGATCTCCACCGGATATGTTAGCTGGCAGAGAAATATCTTTAAGAGTGAAGGAGAGCAGAGAGACTGGTTCTGAAGTGGTGCCACTCTGTGTCCCTGGTGTCTGCAAGGGCTGTGGACTAAAGGGCAGAGCATCCATCAGGGCTCCCAGTGTCAAGGTAGAAGGAGAAAGAGTGGGCATGTCTGCAGGCCTATGGTGACCCTTCATGTGGTTTCTGGACATAAACAAAGGACAAACAATTTTAAACACCAATGCTACCATGAAAAAGTACATTTAGATATTTTAGCAAAGTATAATCGGTTATTTTAACAATAAGAGAGAGTGAACAAATTATGATTTTAAAGCAGTTTATGTTAGTTTGATTACAAAGTAGGTTTTTAGCTTTCTAAAGCATAAATGGCTGACACAGGCTATGACTGCACATATTTTGTTCTTGGTGCATGTATTTTCAGTTTGTTGTTGTTGTTATGTTGAACATTTGCTTCAAAAGTGATAAAGAGTTGAAAGAAAAATGTGAATTAAGACTGGACAGAATGACTGTGAATGAGAGAGTTATCTCATCATGACTTGCACTTACTGGTTCTTGCTCATGGGTCGATGTGGTTTGACAGAGCTTGAGTTCGCTTTGTAGTTTCCAGGATTGTTGTAACCATTCAAGAATCCACCACTTGGGAAAGGTGCCTAGAGCAAATCAAATTACACAATGTAAATCTCTCATACTTTTGTCAATAATTAATCTCATCTTGAAAACCACTTTGTGATTGAAACTCTTACCAGTGGTGTTTCAAAGTAAGGCATGACTGAAGGGTTCCAGGAAGGAGACACCACCGGATAAACAGGGTACTGCTGCTGAGGGCTGTACATTTGCTGCATGTAGACAGGGGAGCTGTACTGGGCCTGTGGTTGGGCATGCTGACTGAAAACACTGGAGTCGACACTGCGGAAGCCATTCTTACCAAAGAATGTGTTAATGGCCTTAATGCGGGCCTGTGGGGGACAGAGAAGGAAGGAGAGGGGTGAGTTAGGTGTGTTTGTTGTGGCTAAAGAAGTGAAGCAGCTCTGTGTATATTGTCCTTTAGTCCCCTCAGATCTCATAATCTCACGGTCATTAGGTCATAAAACACTGCTCTGACTAGGGGAGAGAAGGGGAGGGAGAGAGTGAAGGAGGATAAGGGAGAGTAGAGGTAAAGAGTAGAAGCAACAGCAGAAATACAGTAGAATTATAGAGAGCTACAGATTCAAACTTCCTCCCAGCCAGTCGCAGTGCATATGGGTCCTTCCAAGCGCGATACTGATCATCACTGGGGTTTAAACAGAACCATTAATGAGTCACAGGCTAATTTGTTATATCAGGGAAAAAAGGAGGGCACACAAGGTCAAGTCAAAGTCCAGCTGAAAAAGTTAAGTGCCAGGATAAATGCCAGACTGTGATAACACAGGCAATCAAACTGCCTGGAGATATGAGAATGCTGCAGTTTGGACAAACAAAGAAGCGGAGATCATTGGATTTCCTCCGTGCTTATCATGGGCCTGTACACACAAATCCCAAGGTCACTCTTGAGGCCACAGCTTAGCCAAACAGCCAAGCCTAGACTAGTGACGTGACAGCTGACAACACAACTCGTCTTGCGTAACACAAGGCTCACCGGGCTCCACACTAGTGTCTAAATTAAAACCAATGATAAGCAGTGATCCAGCCCGAGCTAAGAACTTACTATACTCAATAAGGTCAATAACAGAACTCACCATGATTGGTTTTCCCTGGAACGTTTTCACTTCCTCTCTGAGGTATCTGTAAGCCTGGGGACAAAGAAAGTACCAAACATTCACAATACTGTAAAATTCAAAGAAGAAGTTAAAGCTTTCCTCCCCTCATTCCAGAGCACTTTGTGTGTGATTGGTCACGTATATCATTTACTGTCATTCACTGCATTATTTGCATCCGTCATTGTGAACAATACAATTCTAACAAGGCTCATTTATTTAATTTTTACTCTGGGTGCTAAAAGTTTATATATTAAAAATATATTACAGCATTTGAATAGTATTGATTTTAAAACTATAATTTAATATTACATTAAACTCCCAAAATTCATTCCAACAGCCCTACTATGAACTCCAAACTATCAACTGTATTCTAACTTTAGATTTGTACAGCAAATTGGTAAAAACTAAGACATGCAGTTATTAATGTGGTTATTATTGAGAGGAGACGTACCTGTAGTGCATCCATATCTGACTGAAATGTTATGTACCAATTGCTGTTATGTGCAAACTCAGCACTTAACACTTTTGGACAGTTTTCACTCTTGAAAAGAGCCTCCACCTCCTGCAAAAAGAGAAACGAGGCACATGTTATACTGTTCTGCCTCCACCACTGAATCCTGCATGCTCTGTGCTGAGCTGTCAATAAACCACAACACAGCCACAAACTAATCAAACCAGAATATTAACATCAAGGTGTGGAAGGTAATGTGAATCACTGACTATAACTAACTACTAACTCAGCAGCTACAACTGATCACAGTGTAAACAAGCACAATCATATGAAAGCACCATGTTTGTAGGATATACTGTACAGTGAGAAGTGTGGATGTTAAGGACTGTGCAGTGTGACTAGTCTTTACCTCAACTGGTGTAGTTTCTGGCACCTCTCTCAGAATAATGATACAGCGACTGTGGTTCGGCCGAACCTTCTCTCCACTTTCGTCAACTTGCACCATGGGAGAGGCTGTAACAAAAACACAACCGGAACATTAGCGGCACGAACAAGGACCAACATTAGAGCCCCTTATCCAGCTCCTGTTCAAGTGAAGTGAGTGGAAACTATACAAATTCTGTGTTGTGACCAGTTTATACAGTGATCACACTAAACAACAGCCTTGCATATTGTGTATGTGGGTTAAATAATGGAAAAACATTTGTTTAAATGGTTGTAGTGAAGGCTGTCACATTTTCAGCTGGGACAGGTCCATAAGTCCATAATTAAGAAGTATTGTATCGCATTCACTCAAGACATGTAACATTCACATTACGTTCATGTTAAATATTCAAGTTCAAAATGTTTTAAAATTTTAATGTGAATTCTGTTGCTGACCACAAGAGTCAATGAATCTGCTAACAATTCTAAATAGATACTGGGAGAACAGCCGTATCACACCTCGCAGCACATCCACAATGAGGTCCATGTCAGTGGTGAGAGCTTTGATGTCCTCTATGCAAGCGATGGTCCAGATGGGAACAAACTGATCACTGTCCATCTGAGATATTAGGTACAGGTCCTTGGAGAGGTTCTCCCTGTAAACACCCAAAACAAAAACACTGATGTTAAAAAAAATCATTCAAAATATTTTTGCTTTGTACCTTCCAGTCAGGACTACCCCAAAAATGTATTTTTACTCCCATCTCGCAACATTATAAATGAGGAACTGATCATATTTAATCAATCATCAACCCGTCTATTCATTCATGACTTACTTCCGAAAGGGGTGGGCGATATATCGAATATACTGGATGTATCGATTGCTTGCAATGTTTCGGTACTGTATCGATTTAGTATCAAGAGGAGGGAAGAGACTCATAGAGCATGGAAAGAAAGAAAGTGAAGAGCCCCAGTGAGTTGACGATTGTTCAGAGACGGTTATTGACAGTTTGTTCAAGTTCTTTGTGAACACTGAGCAGAACAAATCAGTTTACAACTGATGAACATGAACTTTTCAAAATATCGAGATATATATCATGTATCGCGATATAGCCTAAAAATATAACAAATATATTTGTTTTAGGCCATATCGCCCAGCCCTAACGTCCAGTCTTTCCAATTAAAGTCAGTGGTCTCCTACCAGTCATTATCAATGTAATAAATTCTGCCAATTTAACACAAATTGCTCTCAAACTAACAACTTGAAGAAACAATTTAATACAGTATGTTCCAATTGGTACAATAAAGTATATGTATATATATCAGCATCAAAAGATCCGAATTACAATTTGTGGTGTATAAAAAAAGCATTCGGTAGATTGATAATCTTTTCTTACTAAGAATAAAATACTATCTACTCACCTAGAAAAGCAGAACTCAAGCTGTTTCTTCAGAGACTCCCTTAGGCTCTCCTCAGACATTGGTTGTTCCTTTGAAACGTCACCATCTATGGCTGGTTCACTTTGTTGGTTGAAAACTAGATACCCCAAGTCAGGGTGGTTGATGCCATTCACTATACCCTCTGTGGCTACAGGGGCATAGTCACCAGTGCTGTCAGGACTTTCAGCGTCATATCCTTTACCCCCTGAGGAAGGAACGTCTGTGTAACCTAAGACAGAGAATATAGGCAGTGACAAAATGGGTGTGAAATAATTATGGTTATGTGTAGAACACAACAGAGAATACTCTGAACAAGCTCTGTCATGCTTGTTGTACCAGGCGTGGTACAGGTTTTGATTTATATTCATGATAAAAATTCATGTGAGGAGAAGCTGGAGATAAACTTTAGTTTGAAAACAATAATTTAACACAGAAGTGAGTATGCTCTTACCATTGGTCATCTCAGCAGGAGGAGGGTAGGTCTGCGGCCAAGGTGAATCCTCTGTCCCCTCGGGGATGTCATTCTGGTGGGCAGGCATCTCCTGCCACACTTTAGCATTTGGGTTCAGACCCGCTCCCTTAGTGGTAACCTGCATGATTGTAAGAATATAGTTTGAGGTTCACCCTTTACAGAGCTAAAGGAAAAAATCACATAGAGAAGCAAAACAGTGTTTTGAACATTATTCCAGACATGCACAACACAGCGGGAGGTTTTCTGCACAGACGCGTTCACAACAGCAACAAATCCTATGCATTATTCAGGTGAAAGGTGGAGCAGCTGGGTGCAGCAGGCAGAGGCAGGACGTGACGTATTAACTCTGCAGTGGTGTGTCACTGCTTTTTCCACCAGAAGATTATTTTTTCTCTTTTTGTTTTTTCATTTCTGCATCTGTCGCATCACTTCTCCTGATTTTTTAAGGACTTTAAACTAGTAGGCCAGGTAGAGAAAGTCTATAAAAACTGTGGCGCGTCTCACTTGGACATTCACGTTCACACATGCACCACCTCCAGACAAAATAGGGAGGAACAGTGGAGTCCAGTGCATGTCTGAAAGCTAGTATAACAAATTCAATCGTTTTTTTTCTAAAAGAAGAACAATGGATATAAAACTGGTAGGGGATGGAAAGATATATATATTACACATGATAATCTAGATTTTAAGATATGGATTATCATGTGTACACAGTTGGGTATAGTGTGGTTTAGTGTATGAAGGAATAAGAGCATCTTTGTGAATACATGTGTATACAAGTAATATACAAGTGTAGAGGTGCAGCTGTCAAAAATGAAATTATTAGCACAAGTCAGCCAAACATTTGAAAAAGCACTTTGAAATGAGGGCAAATTATCTAGGCTCAATAAAATGCTGTAGTTTGAACTTTTAAAATACTGCTAATCCGTATAATAACTCAAAAATAACTAATAAGCCTTTACAACCCTGTGAACTGACTTCTTCACTCAAACATGTCACAGCCAATCCAGTGAATGAGGCCAGTTCACATGTGAAATCCTCTAATCCAGTTTAACACACACGCGCGCGCGCGCACTCATTGGCTTCCTCGTCAGCCATACTCCGCCCCTCACACGGGCTCATGTAACCGTACATGGCGCTGGTCCGCCTGAGAGCGTGACTCGAACAATACATTTCAACCTGTCATCCGCTGCAAAACATCGATCGCCCTTCACCCATCGATGCTAAACCAGAAAATAACTCAAAGCGCAGTAACCTTTACGCGCTTCCTGTGTGTCTCGCTGCCCTCGTGGCCGCAAAGTGAAGCGAAGTAGCGACAGTTCGAGAATCAGGAAGAACGAGCACATGGCACAGACGTGCCCATGCAACTTGGGACGACATTCAAATCGCAATGGTTCCTTTTTAAATCCGAGTAAACAGAGCGGATCCCGCATATGGATACAAGGCGTTTGTGGTTAATTGATTTTGGAGATCTGATCGATCTCCTTTCAAAGTAATCGTGCCATGACCTTTACCACGCAGCCCTTTAATAGCCGAGTGGAACCGCTAGCTAACAGGGAACAGAAATCACGTGCAGCGCAGGCGCCGCAAGACAATTCAATAATACGTGTAGTAAAACTTCTTAAGGATCAACATGTCCCACGTTTCCCCCCGAGCGCTACATGTCCCTCTACACGCGCTGGCTAGCAAGTCAGGCTTGTTGGCTACCATATGGGAACTAGCCACAACAAACACACTCGCCTTTAGCTAACTAGCTTAAGTTGAGTGTAGCAGACCGGTGAGAACTGGCCTGACTCCACACCGCAGGCTGACAGCGACACGCCGTTCACCGCACGTGTAAATAATTGAACCGAGGGAAAGAAATGGAAACACGAAGGTTAATGAACAGTCGCTGGAGTGTTGGTAACGAGTGACGCGGGTTTTTTTCCAGGGAGGAAGGACGCAAACAGGTTGCCGCATGTTAGCTAACGTCCAGGCCCCAACACTCACCATGCTGCCCCGGTCCTCGACTTCTCCTCACGGTGTCCTCTTCAGCTCCGAGGGGTTAGACCGCCCTGTGTTATTCACTCCACCAGAGATGGTTCTAAAGTGACTGGCTGCTCTTTATTCAGCGTCGGCGCGTCCCCCGGCTGAACTATCGTCTCCCCGGCAACTGGCAACTCAAACGGCCGAGCGTGCTCCGGTGGATCCTCGCAGACCTCAACTTCGAACACTGCGAACTCAAACCAGCAGTGATGCCGCAGTTAAAAGCATTCCCCGTTCTCTCTTTCCATGAAGTGTGGCCCCTCTGCTGCTCAGCTCTTCACCCCGCGGATCAGCTTCCAGGTGCCGCTCTTCCAGCGTGTGACAGCTGCGTTCTCTGTCCGCTAGCGTCAGTCTCCACAGGCTGAGCTCTCCCTCCGCCTCCGACAGCGACGCCAACAGGGCAGCGTCGCAGCCGCTGACGGTGACCTCTGAGCGGCTGCAGCACAGGAGAGGAGTCCGTGCACACCCATAATCTATAATCGATATCCACAGGGGGATGTTTCCAACACTCTTCATGTTTTACTTCTGTAAAACTACCGTTACCGCTCAATTTACAACAACATACTCCATTACCAGTACAACCCATGCACTGGACATGTTGAAGATTAGATGAGATGATAATAATAAACGAGAACACTAAGTGCTGCTTTACAGATACAAACACAAGGAAATAGAATACAAATATAAATAGAATAAAAACAATATGGTTTAATATATAGTATTCAATCAGTAAAATATAATTCAACTTTCTATGCAGAAAATCCCTATGATTTATATTTTATGAATGGATATTATTTAATGCGTAAAACTTTTCTATTGTAGCAGGTTTAGATGAAGGTCATTTGAATTCTTTTTACTTACGGCTGCAACTGAATAATATTTTCTTCTATCTTATGATTATTGGTTGGATTCTATAATTGTATTAAATAGTGAGAATAACATCTGTATCAAAGTGACAACTTTTTGTTGTTTGAACCAATTGTTTCCTATCTGTAAAATTAAATAATTGTTCAGTAAATGTGTCCTGCTGAATTTTAGTAGAGTATAAGAACAATGTAGCATGAACCCAAATACTCAAAGTAAGGGCCTTTCAAAGTTGTACTGAAATTATAGTACTTAGGTAAAAGCATCACTTCTGGTTAGCATAACTCGTACAGTGAGTGAAGAGGACGTGACCTCATACAAAGTACTGGTCCCTTTAGCTTTCTGTGTTCACTTGCTTCTTAAAAGGTGACTTCTGTGAGATTTCCTCACATGTGAATTGAAATTAAAAAGTCTATTAATATCCACTGAATGTGTGGCTGTGTAATTGTAAATCTATTTTGTCCTTCTGAAGATATCTCAAGTTTAATCGAATGTATCCACATAAAAACAATTTTAACATGACCCAGTGTGCACAAATATCAGTGTTATAGGGTGGATTTAAGTCTTGCCTCAAGAGATTTGAAGTCTTAGATCATGCTCAAAGGCACAGAGGTGATTTAATTTAAGGCTGACCTCGAACCTCTACACAGGACTTACACGATTTATCATTCCACGTCATTCCCAAACAAAGTTTTACCCACATTCAGTCTGAGCAGTCCAGTTAACCAGACTAATTAAAAACAGCTATGTGGGTGTGCAGGTCCTTATTGGTTGTGTCAAAGAGGACTGAGTTTACCTGTGATTGTAAAAATGTTACCAAAGTCTGATAAACTTCTCAGTAATGGATACCATTGAAGAAACTCACAAGTGAAAATGTGGCTTAATTGTCATTATTTTTATTGAATATGTAAACCCAATTTAATCAATTTAAAAGAGTTTGTGCACTGACTTCCGACAGATACAAAAGGATTTGTTATCATTCATTATTTATAGTGGATTCATTAGGTTAAGCCTTGGTGGTCCCGACCATCTGTGACGTCTGCTGGCTCTGTTGTAGTTGCTGGATCTTCACATTCATGACTTCAATCACAGCTGCAAGACAGAAACAAACCCTCGATCAATTCAGTAAATAGGTGCGTTCGGTTGTGGTCGACAACTTGACTTGATCTGTGCTGTCTGCAGTATTGAAGTTTTCATAAAACATATACAGCAGAATGAACTGCTTTTTTCTGTAAAATATTTTCTGGGTGGTAATAATAACTTGAATACTAACTTTAACATTTCAGTTAAAGTCACAGTATCAAACTGTCAACATCATTAGTTCAACAGTGTAAAAAGAGAAGTGACTGAAAAGAGAAATGTTGTCATCATTGGTGGGTTTTTGACAGTGCACTGCTGAAGAACATTGGTACTTCAATCTGTTTAATATAACATACATGAAATGCTTAGCATTTCTTAGGGCTTGCATACAGGGTTAGGGTTAGATGGATGACATGCATCCACTCCCACTGTCTAAAAATGAAGCCAAAATGTGCTGGATATGGTTGCTACCATCTTGCGCTAATTGTGTAATTTGGAGCCAGAGTCTGTGCAGTAGTGATTGGGGGATAGAGCAAAAGTAGCCAAGTCCTGCTGATACAAGCGGTTGACCAATCATGAGTCAGTCTCAACAGTCACTCATGACATTTCATCCAGTTGTTATATCATCAACTAACTAATTCAAACCAAACTTGAAAAAATGAACACATGAGTTAGTTAAGAACTATGTAAAATGACAGAAACATCTTTAAGATAAAATTATTTAATGTTTTTTTTCATTTTAGTTTGGCCTGACACTGCCTACACAGCATATGACTGTGCTATATACTGCAGCCAGTCAGCCACTTCACTTTTCGGGAGCCATCAAGTCATCCATCTTTACAGTCTGTGACATGTGTATTAGTAAAATATACAGGAGAAATGCAGTATGAAAATGTTTGTCCATGTAAAAGGAAATTGTGACAATGTTTAGTAAAACAATAAGAAAGAAATGATCTATAGAAGATGTTTCTAGGCTTACCTTGTTTCATTGAATGTTTTTCCTGAAGAGCTGGCTGAACTTTTTCTATCTGCTTTGTGAGGAAGTCTATTTTGCGTTTGAAGAATTTCTTTGAGTCTCCCACATTCTACAGACACAGACACATACAGTTGTATAAATAAATGCACATAACAATTACTAGCTCTACATTATGTGAAAAAATGGATATAAATGAATACATTTTGTCAAATTGCACATTTTACCTTTTCAACATAATATCCTGTGCCCACATCCACTAAGACATGTTCCACATCGTTTAATGTTCCAGGGACGTACATCTGAGAAGAAACCAAGTCAAGGACAAGAATCTACTGTACATCTCAACAGACATCATTTTAAGTACATCTCACAGAACAGCTAAATGGTAGCTGCTAGCTGCTCCACTGTGATGAAGGATACAGAACTGGTGAGAGGCACCAGCAATTCTTTTCCTGCAGGAGAAAATAGACAAAGGAGAAAAGGTGAACAACTAATCTATAACAGCTGCAGATCAGCACAAATTTGACATCACTATCACTAAATTGTGCTGATTTTACTTGATGTATTAATCATATGGAGGCTGAACTTTCCTGATAAAGTTCACTATTCACACCCAAAGAGAAGGGAAACCTTGTTAATCACAGGAACTGAAGAACCACTGGCTATGTATGTTTTTGAATAAATAATTCCAGCGACACTGACTTGATGTGTCAAAAAATAATAAAATGTACTTCACTCACCTTTGTTGTTTTTGTTCAACACATTTAAACTATCTTTTGCTTCAACAAACTTTGTCTGGGCAACTTTTAGTTGAGTTATTGAAGACGTCAAGAACTCAACTTCCTGCAAGACATTAAAATTGACAAAACAACCAAGGTCAGGACAGCAGTAAGTTCAGTAAACTTGTCGCATTAAAATGCTTTCTGAATGTGTCTCCTGGGACCGCTTGTTATCGGATCTCATTTCCAAGCTCTAAGATCAAATACTGTTGTTTTAATCCAGTCAGAACTTTCAGATGTGTCTGATGGCACTGTGGTTGTGTGTGTGTGCAAGCAAGAGAGAGCAAGCAGAGTCAAGAGGGGCGGTCAGCTACGCAGATCATTCCGGACAGATGTTCATGGTCTGGACGGGGTCATTATTTCAGTTAATAATTATTGTTCTTTCTTTTGAATCAATCTGCTTCCAGTTTTACTGGACTATAAACACACACAAATCACAGGGAAAGAGAAATGTCGCATTAATACACAATGTAAATGGAGACAACACTCCAAGGGGTCCTGACTGTCTGTCTGGTGGATCTGTGTATAAAATGTCGCCAAATAGCAAGAACCAACATTGAAAGTTCATGTTTTGTCTGGACAAAGTTTAAAAACACAAAGATGCTCAGTGTCATAGAAAAGATGGAGGAGACAGAAGTCCACATGAATATCGGATGGATTCCAGTTAATTTCACCTGCATGAGGAAATAATGACAGTGTCGTAGATGGGGGAGGGGGGAGGGGGGAGGGGCACTCCTCTGAGCCCTATACGGTGGACTTGGTCATGCTAACAGTGAGGGACAGTGAGGGACAGTGAGAGACAGTGAGGGACTGTGAGAACAAAGAGTGTCCATGAACAACGCCTGACACTGTGTCCTCGTAGCCTCGTAACGTTACATGCTGGAACATTTCCCGTTAAACGCAGAAGAACACACGATGGCAGAACACGTCGGGTATTTAACCACTGTTTTCAACCACGTTAGCTAGTGGTGCTAGTTAGCGCCCCCCGCCGCGTTGTTTTCAACCCGAGCGTCGCTCCCGTCAGGTCAACATGTGTGAACACGCTCAGGGGTGAAACGAAGTGAACCTGCTCTGGTTACCTGGTCCAGTTGGTTCTTCAGGCCCTCTAACTGAGGCAGGGAGAGGTCTGTGAGGTTCACCGCCATGATGGAAGCGCAATGCCAGATGACCCTCTTCTTCTCGTGGGAGTGTTTCCGGGTGAAGTGCCGTCGATAGTGGCAGACGTCGCCCCCAGGTGGACACGACGCGACGGTACAACTACTCTAAAGAAAACCAATGGTCTCTCATGTAATACAAAGACATTACCAACACACTGGGGTGTAACGAGTCCAAAAACAATGCTTCCAATGTGTTTATTTATCATGAACATCAGGCCAACTGCAGTAAACAGAAAAGGTCATATTAGGTGTAATCCCTCTGACAGAACTAATTCTCCACGGAGAAGTTTTAAAGGTCCAGTGTGTAAGATTTAGGTGAAAGGGATCTATTGGCACAAATTGAATATAAAATAATCCTCTTGTTTTCGCTAGTGTGTTTCATCAAAATTGTATGAATTGTAATTTTCTTTACCCTAGAACAGGCCCTTTATATTTAAATACTTTATATTTGCATCTCTCTATGGGGGGTGCCATGTTTTTTACAGTAGCCCAGACTGGACAAACTAAACACCTTTTGAGTTTTTATGACAACAGCTGCTTCCACAGGTTCTCTTTCATGTTTGGAAGGAGAGGGTGAGGTGAGGGGTGTTCAACTGTAACATGCAACTTCACAACTAGTTGCCACTTAATTCTACACACTGAACCTTTAAAGTAGTTTGTAGGTAGGTTGTTGCCACAGTTCCTGTTGTTTAAGTCTTTCACTTCATGTGATCTCATGAGAGTAAGACCATCTGTTACATGAATCTTACTTTTCCAGAGCTAGTTTATGACTCGGATCAGGTGCCTCTGTATCATTGGGTAAAAAGACATCTGAAGTGCCTACAGTTCTTCCACGGTCCCGACAGGCAGTTAGACCACCCAGAGGGGGCTTTCAATATGAAGTGATTCCAACACATTTCTTTCACATTATGCCTCAAACAGAATGAGCTCTGCATTAAGAGCTTCAAGAGCAATAGATACAGCTAAAGTTTTTACAATTAATGAGAACACTAAGTCACAAGAAACAATACATTTGTATTCATTAAGATGATGTATATGTTGTGTTAGAACACATTTCACTAAGCACATTTTTCTTATCCCTAGATATTACTGTAAATACCCTTAGTCAGGCCTTTCCCATCCCTTCACATAAATATTATCAATATCAGTTATTTCTGCAACACAGGCACAGACTGTGTGTGAGAACGCCTTTATTTGAAAACAATTCTGTCAACACATTAAAAATGCATTCAAACACTGTTAAAATTTACATTTAAAAACAGCATTAAAAAGAAAATTCTAATTAAAGTCACATTCTCCAGCTTGTGTGCTGAAACCTTAATGTTTAAATACTGCATAGACTGTTTACATCCTGCTTTTAAAATGTCATGTCAAAATTTTAATTTTATATTATAATCAAAAATTCTGCCAAAATTACATGAAATTATAAAAAATTTCATTACTCAAAGTCAAACTTTCAAAACGGTTAAAGCCTCAAGTCTGATGACCTTCTACCTGCAGTTATCTGGCTTTAGTGACAGCTCTGGCCTGTGGTGCTGACTGGGTGTTCATCCCTGAGATGCCTCCAGATGATGGATGGGAGGAGCATCTCTGCAGGAGACTGAGAGACGTAAACACGTTTTACCCTGCATCATCCTCAGACACTAACTTTAATGTGGCTTTATTGTGTCTCTAACATACAAGCACACAGGATAGACTCTTGTAACAAAAGGAAGTCTGCTCATATATGATCTGTCTGTCCAGCTGGTATCAAAGAAGCTCGGCTTCGACACTCGTACGACCATCCTGGGGCACGTACAAAGAGGTGGAACCCCCTCTGCCTTTGACAGGATCTTGGTAATACCTCATTTTCCACATATATAAACTCACCAGTGGGTCTCATCTTTGTTCCATAAACAAAACATACATCTATCAGCTTCTCTGTGTGCCAACGTGCTCTCTCTCATGCCTTGATATCATCCAGGCGAGCAGGATGGGAGTAGAGGCTGTGATGGCTCTGCTGGAGGCCACACCAGCCACTCCTGCATGTGTGGTCAGCTTGACTGGGAACATGGCTGTCAGGCTGCCTCTCATGGAGTGTGTGCAAGTGGTGAGTCAGTTATTTTTCCATACTGTACACAAAAAACATGATTATACAAAATGAGGTAAATTATTGTCCTCAACTTCAGACTAAAGACGTCACCACAGCCATGTCCGAAGGAAGGTTTGACGATGCTGTGAAGCTCAGGGGAAAGTGAGGCACCCACGTTTGTGTTATCATTTCTATTTGTCATGTGTTGCATTGAGTTTGAAATGTCTGTACATTTCTCACTTCTGACAACAGGAGCTTTGAAAACAACTGGAACACTTACAAAATGCTGGCTCATCTGCACCCCCCAGACACAAAGGTGAGGAACTGCAGTTGTGCCACGTACATAAACTGTCTCTAGGTCAGTAAATCAATAGTGTGGTTCTGACAAGTGTCTCTGCAAATCTGTTAGTGTAACATCAATACTGCTGTTCTGAATGTGGGAGCTCCGTGTGCTGTGATGAATGCTGCAGTGCGTTCAGCTGTCAGGATCGGGCTTCTGCAAGGCCACCAGATGTTGGCAGTGCACAGGCTTGGCTCATGGGATGGTTAATTCTAGTTACACACAAATAAACAAGGAAGAAAGCATTATCCTTCATGATAAACTGCTTTACCCTGTTGTAGTATGTCTAAACAAATGAAAGACACTGATCAGCTGTCTGCAGTGTGTTTAAATACTGCATAGAGACTGTTTACAACCTGCTATTGGCTCATCAACCCACCTACTGCAGGTACACAGGTAAACCATAGGCCACAGGTGCAGCTCCGATCAGGTGTTTAAGGTTTGTGGCCTGACGCGATGGGCCCATGTGTTCCAGGAGGGGAGCTCCAGGTCCAGCAGCGAACCAGGACTCCAACAAAGCTTTGGTGAAGCGATCAATGTCCCGATCAGTCACATCCCACAGGTTTCCCAAAGCAAACGGGCTAAAGAGAGAAAAAAATAAATAGTAATGAACTATTTAAGTCAGTGAATTTAGGTTTGTGGATCAACCACATCAAGATATAAATCTCCAACTTCATTTGTTGGAAAATTTTGTGTTAAAAATGTATCAATTGATCTTTATTCAACTGCACATTAACACAGATATCTCACCAGCCAGCGATGAGGTAATTGAGGATTATGCCTTGTCCCTCCTGGTCTCCACGCACGGCCAGAGCAGCACTACTGCAGCCAAAGAGAAGAGACGCTGCTCTTAACTGCGTCTTCAGGACCGTCTGACCATCAAGGAACCGAGCGCCGGCTCCGTGACCCACGTAGCTAAAGGACCACGCATGCAAAGTTAAAGAGGTCATTTGATGTGTAGCATGTTTTCCCAAAAAGTTGGTAGCCTGCATTTTAGCATCAAAACATCCACAAAACACTAAATGATTCTACAGCACTGTATTTACAATGTTATTTCTCAACATGAGCATGTTTGTGGACTGTAGCCATTACTTCTCATCTCTTTCAGGATGCATAAGATCATCACAAACTCACATGTACAGATCCTTGTTTGCCACTGCTTCTTCCATCTGACCCGAGTCAGGAGCAACCCCACACACACCTTCCCAGTCTGGTTGACTTTAAAGAGAACAGTCAGATTGTCATTGAGGATGAAACAGCAGTGAAAAAGACAAACCTTGTTTGCTTGAGTATTAGCCTTACCTGCTAAACCATTCTTTGAACCTGTCCTGAGAGTTCCCTAAATTAGCATCAGGGTCCAGCACATAGAACACCTTCTTTGTATCCACTCCTCGTCTCAGGACGGAGTGAGAGTCATTCTGAAGGGAAAGATTAAAGTAAGATGTATATCTACTGCTGCACACTTCAGATGACATTTGTGTCTGTAGTCCCACCGCTTTCTGAATGCTCAGTCCAATCAGTGAGTGCAGAGAAGGCATCCGACTGACAGAGTGAGACTTTAAGATGGAGATGCTCTCCCATGGCAACTTCTGAAGGTACTGCAAAGGAGACAGGACAGATGGCCATACTTTTACACTATTTCACCCCACAAGGGAAATATTGTTAGAGAGCATTAGATCTCTTTTATGTACAAGTCAGACGACAGGATTTGATAGAGATGATATAACCAACCTTGTCCAGGATCAGAACAACATGACCACGGGGCTCTTCTCTCTCTGAGGGCTGAGAAAGAGCTGTATGGAGAATCTGGTCACACTCCGCATCCCAGTGTGGAGAAACTCCAAGAGCAAATCTTTGCAAGTCTTCTTGAGACAGCAGAGGAAATGCTGACAGCAACGCCTGAAACAAAAGTCACCAGTTCAGTGATTGTTTGTTTTGCTGTTCCTGCTCCAGCTGCTTTTGAGATCAAGTCAGAATGGAAGGTCTGCTGGTGATGCTCCAGAATCCATCAAGTGAAAAGAAACAGAAAGAAAACAAACAAAAAACCCCCACACACCTTCAACATCTCCTCACTGCATGTCACTCCTTTAGCAGACAAGGCTTTGCAAAGGTGCTGGGCCTGACTGGAAAGTTCTGGATCTGAAGAAAGGGGGAGAAGAAAGCTCTTCCAGCACTGGAGCAATCCCTCCATCTCTTTCAACAGTTGCTGGAAGAAAGGTGTGAAGGTGTTTAGACAAGTAAAAGCATAAAGTAATCACTGTCAACTTGCAAGTGACATTTCTTAGTCAAAACAACCAGAAATAGGCCAGAGTTTCCCCCGCTTGTCTTCTCATCACTCACCTCAACTCGAGAGTCAAGCGCCCTGCGGCCCTCCCACCACTTGGCTTTCTCAGACACACAGCTCACAACCTTCTGTTCCACCTGAATACTGTCCATCTCCTGCACGAGCCAACTGATGGGATGCTGCACAACACAGAGAAAGTTGAAGTCATTTTCTGGGATGGTGAAAATTAAATATTATAACCTAGTAAAATTAAGAGTCAAACTTAAACTTGTTCCAAACATTATAATAGCATTTCCTGACACTGAATTGGTTATCGTTAATGAATCTCATATATGGATTATTGCAATTTCACTGAAATTCAACTACAGCTGCAGTAGAGATTGTCTTTTACCTGGGCTACGTGTTACTGCTGATGAGATTTGTGAAAACTTTCAGCACGGCAAGATTTTAGAGTCACCATCGTCTCCATGTTGCATAAGTAACTTCTAACAGTGTAATTATCTGTTTTCAGATTCTGGCTGCCATACTGCTTGATTGTAAACTGTATTTGCTTAGATAATACTTGTTTGGAAAAGAAAAGAATATACACATCTTAAAATGATATAAATTATTGGCATCACCTGCTGCATAGATGTTGATATATGAACAGTGACAGGGGCAGATCCTTTCTGGAGACGTGAAAGTATGATGCTGTTCCCCATGTCCCCAGGTTTTACTCCAAGCACAGACATCATACACACAGTTACCCCTGTACAACACAGAGGAAGGATATCATGCAATTTAAATGTTGTTTTTTCTTAGCTTATCAAGCACATTCCTTCTACACCCACAGTGCAAGAAGGAACGCTTCCACAGGTCCTTCATTCCCACTGCTGTCAGACTGTACAACACCATCCGGAATGATAATAAAATAAATGCTGCTCATGTTACTTACACAATTTTTTGCTTTATATGTACAAACATAAAATTTGTTTTTTATGTACAAACGTTTTATTCTTATGTACAAAACAGATTTTTACTTGCCTATACAATCATCCTGTGCATATATAATAAACA